GCAGCCGGTTTGGATTAGTTGATGGGGGTGAGATTGTTTGAACTCTCGTTCGGATCCTCGACTTGTTGTCGAATGAGTGGGATTTTTGGTTTGGTTGGTGTCGGCTCAGTTTTTGGAAGAAACTTCACCGAGGTGGAGAATTGTGAACGTGGGGCCCTTGAACCACGTGAATGAAGTGAGCTAGAGAAAAAACCAGCGGACAAAATCCTTTGGCCCACGCGGTATTACCAAGGCCCACCCGTTTGTCCTTTGTATAAATATAAGAACCTAGGGTAAGCGGCTGATTGGTGCAAGGATCTTTTTGGTTTTGGGAACTTGGCGGCTGCAGGAGTTTAGAAGGCAGGGAATCGGTCTTCTTTGTTGGCGGCTACGAAGAAAAAGTGCAAGGTGGGACTTCCTTGGTGGCGGCTACGGAGAAAAGAGCAAGGCAGGAATTTTTTCCGGTTTCTCTTGTGCGGCTACAGTGCAGGAGAGAGAAAGTCCAGTCCTTCTTTGTTTCCTTTGAGAGAGATTTTGTAAGAGGGATTTGAGAGTTTGTTTGAGAGGGTTTAGAGTTTGTGAGATTGTAAACCCTAGTTGTATCTCTCCCTCTAATAGTAGATCTCCCCCTCCTTGCCCCGTGGACGTAGGCTATTTGCCGAACCACGTAAAAGTTATGTTCTTGCTGTGATTTGTAATAGCTTGTAGGATCCCTCGACAGGTCAGTCCTAGAACTGATGAGAGGAAGAGCCGATATCTCACTTGGTTGAGATATCCGCTTCAGATTCTTATTTCCTTGGTGAGACGAGAATTCTTATCGATCTAATATCTCTTGTTGTGCTGCCGAAGTGCTGCCGAAATTTCCGCTGCGCACAACAAGTGTGTGTGTGTGTGTGTGTATCAATTGCTTGAAATAGAATCATAGTGGGAATAGATTTTTATATGATTGATTATGTCAGCAAATTAAATTCTAGTATATGTGGGATTCCTAATCAATAAGAATCTTTAATTGATCAAAATTATTTTCAAGTTAATTATGTGTCAATGTACTTTTGCAATTAAGGCGTTGCATAAACCAATTTGTCACCAACTCAAAATAGTATTCTCTCGGCCAAAGCATGACTGAGCCGAGACAGTGGCTTCAATCGTGCATATTTGAGGCATCTATGACACATATTATTAGAATATGTCCCGTATCTTTTTTAGTATCCGGTGGGATTAAAACCTGGTGGGCCTTTAGGGCAAGTTAGTGCTAGGGTTTAGCACTATGCAAGTCTCTCATGTGAGTTGGATCGGTGGAGAGATTGGAGGTCGGAGAGGACATGAGTGGAGACTATATGTGTATGTGAGATTGAAAGAGGATGAGAGATGGGTGATTCTCTTATAGTGTTCTCCATCTTACATAGTAGATTTATCGTGTGTTTGTCCCGTGGATGTAGGTCGAAATTGGTCGACCGAGCCACGTAAATCTTAGTATTTTTTTTTCTTCTTGTGTGTGTTGTTTTCTATCTTGTAATACGTGTGTTTTGATCTCCGGATCATGGAGATTGGAATTGGGGATCGCCGATTCCCCAACACATATTACATGGGACCCCATGTTGGGAGACAAGGAGGGAAGGCCCCTTTATCCTCTGCTTGTAACTTTTTTTGCCAAAAGTCCAAAGCCTTTTCATTATAATTTGTGGGCCTTTCAACTATAATTTAAGGGTTTTTGGTCAAGACGTAGCTTTGGATAACCCAAGGATCGAGTTGCTTGTGTGCACAGGCCCTCCACTAATTCCAGGTTAAAGGTGATCGAGGGGCCAGCGAGATCAGCTCTCTCAACGTCTCTTGCTTTCAGTTTCTAGTTCACATAGTGCATTTCACTGAGCAACCTTTATTTGAGCTAGACAAAGCTTCTTCTTGTTCTTCTGTGTTGTTGGGCCGCCGAAGCCATGTAACAACCCCTATTTCTTGTTACCCAGTAGGTTCT